CACACACACACACCAGACGAAACAGGTTAACTTTTTCCTGCCTCTTGGAAGTCCCTCCCTGTTCTTGGGAACTTCACTTTGCTCGATTCCTTGCGTTCCATTAGTTTCTCATCCTTGAGAGAATTAATTCTGTGTTCCTTTCTCCTACAAGTTCCCTGTCTTTAATCATCACTAGAGCGAGACCACCAACCTGAGCACCACTGTCTCAGGTTGACTTTGGTGACCCCTGAATTTCTGCTGCCCTAAGCCCCTGGGTTCTGCCAACCCAGGTCAAGGATGTTTTCCTCTCATCCCCAATCATTCCTATCATTCCTTTTCAGGATCCAGGTGTTGGCTGCCTCACTTCTGTGTCTGAAGTCTGTGACCTGGTGACGTGGCCACAAAACTGTGGGTCTGAGCTGGGCGCTCTGTATCTACTGGGAATAACATATTTATATCAGGAAGAGAATGGCTTTGAGAGGTGTTTGCTAGGCTGCTGTATTTGTACTTGTGGGCCTCAGTGAAACTGAGCGTCTCTTTCTCTTTAAATTCTCTCATTCTTTTCAGCACGACTCCAGCAGCGCAGAAGAAAGGCAGCCTTGCCATTGACTTTTGTCCAGTGTTAGATCCTTATGGCTTGCTTTATTTCTGATTGCACTGCATAGTGGGATGAGTTCTTATGTTGTTTGTTTGCTTGGTTGTCTTAGAAAAGCAATACTTAAACTTTTTGGTCTAAAACATTACTAAAGAGTTAAAAAGATTTAAGGTGGGTTATTTCCACTATTCAGTATTAAAACAGACATTAAGAATATTGAAGTGGAGATTCTGTGAATTACTTTACCCATTTGGCACCCTCTAAAACACAGTTGTATGAGATGGATACAAAAACAAATAAACAAACAAAACAACAAGAACAGAGCTTGGGAGATGGCTTGATTGACAGGGGCTTGCAGTGAAATCTTGAGGACTGGACTTAGATCCCCATGGAAAAGCTGGACCAGAAAGGGCTTGACTGTAACTCTAGCCCTGGGGAGGCAATAATAGGGAATCCCTTTGGTTTGTTGAATTCAGGAGGATAATTTCAGAACCCAGCCTGGGTGCTGGGAAAAGGGTATAGAGAGTTCTCCCATTGCCTTCTTTGACTTGCCTGACTCCCAGAGTCGGTGCCCTTGACTGCACCCTCTCACCCCCTCCCCTGAGGGAGTCCTTAGGACCCAACCACAGCTGGCCAGCCTGCATAGCCACCTAGTGAGCTTCACATTCAGTGAGAGAACCTGTCTCAAAAACATAGGGTGGAGAAGTGACTAAGGAAGACAGGTGACATTCACCTCTGGCCTCCACACCTGTGGGCACGTTCATCACACACCCACATACATGCTCACCCACACATGTTCCAGAAAGCAAATGCTGTAGTAATGTCATGAAAATAATACTGACCTTGAATGCCCCTTGAAAGTACTTCGGGATACCTGGTCTACCCATTGAGAGCCAACCCAGACAGCATACCACTTTGTGATTCCTTAGCAGTTGTAAGACCCAGAAGGGGGAACTTCCAAATCTAAGAACTCTCTAGGAACAGCGCCGTCGAGCAATGGCCAGTCCAAAAGAAAGGTCAGCCAATCTGTGAACTTCTTTCATCTTATATTTGGGAGAGGTTGGCTTCTGCCATTGAATAATAAACTTACACGTGAAAGGTCACAGTGCTTATTTTAACCGTGTCAAACTAATTAATTCTGGAATTTAAGACAAACAAACTAAACATTTCACACAAATGGAAACGCATTACAAAGAAAATTTTGCTTGTTCGGTTTTGTACACTTCCTCTTGTGGTCGGCCAACCAACCTAAACATATCATTTCTAGCTTGGCACATTTATTGCTTTCTATAGGAATGTGAAATACTGAATAGGTCATGGCCAGGCCTGTTTATAGCCAGGCTGCAGGCATGTGACCTAGGCATAATTGATGAACATCTATGTTTCATGCTGTAGTATGGAAACTGCCAAGTTTTAGAAACCCCCTCAGGCAACTGCACATAGTTTCCACGGCAACAATTTATTGCCAGAGTCTCCGGTCGAGACTGTTGGCATTGTAGCAGATGGCAAGGTGGCATTCTGGTCTGTCAGACTTCTGCGAGGTTTGGGTGGTGTTCCTGGAAATGCAGCCTCCGAACTTGATTTCCTGGAAATCCATGATCTCTCGGTTATTCTCAGAATTCAAGAGTCGGGGGCTTTGCCCACAGCTAAGAACCCTGTATGATTCATTTGTAGGCCCAGTTAGTGCAGATCTGCTCACCGTCACTTCCGGAAATGCTTGTATGGAAATCCCGGGCTTCGTTCTAAAATGCCTGTTTCTGGGCTTAGAAGCTTTGTGGATGAGTTCTAGGGCTTTGTGTTTTAATTAATTAATTTAAAAATATGGGTTCGTAAATCCGAGAATGCCTTGAACTGATGTGTAGCTCAGAATGACCTTGAACAGAAACCTTATCCCCCTGCCCGTCGCCCCCTGTCCAGAAATAACCCAACTTTCACAAAGCCCGATGACCAACTCGAATTTCTTTGTTCCCACGCACCCTCCCCCACCCATTCACACTGTTCTGGTTCTTTCTTTAACTTCCCCTTTGCCCTCTTCTTTTTGATGTTTGAGACAGGGTCAGGGTTTCACTTAGCCCAGGCTGGCCTTCAGTTTTCTGTATAGCTCTCTCTGTAGCCAAAACTGACTTTGAACTCCTGATCCTACTGACTCTACCCCATTAGCGCGGAGGTTACAGAGGCGTGCAGCTACATCAAACAGGGAGGGAGTCTCTTCAACTCTTTCAGGTTTGTTGTTTTCTGAGAACTGAGAAGTGGCAATTCCCCAGTGAGAGTGGCCTGCACTCTACGTCAGCCACAGTGCCGGAGTGATCAGTTCACACTGTGACTTGTGACTGTACCTCTCTGTGGCGGCATTTCATTTGTGTTTACTGAATAAAGCCTGCCGGAAGATCAGAGAGTCAAACAGCCCCACTGGCCAGCCTTATAGACCAGGCAGTGGTGACACACTTGTGTGCCATAGAGACCATGAAATAGTGGTGCATGCCATTAATCCCAGCACTAGAGAGGAATGTAAGGCTGCAGGAGACGGCTCTCAGACAGTCTCATTCTGAGATTCCTAAAGGCAGGCTCGCCATTTCAGACTGAGGCAGAGGTAAGAGCCAGTGCCTGGCTGTTTTTCTCTTCTGACTTTCAGGTGGAACCCTAATTTTTGTCTCTGGTTTTTTATTTCTCATGCTGCAGCTCTCCAAGTCGGTTTCTTTTCTGACATCTTTGTAACTCAGGCATAATTCACTCAAGTATTTACTCCAAGGTTATCTGGAGACAAGAAGAAAACAGCGAGAACCTAGCGGCACGGTTGTTTTCTTTGAAGGGTTGCTGCGGGTTTGGAATGAAAACGAACATCGAGATGAGCTGACTGATCTGATTGGAGCTTTCTGAAATCTCAGACTATTACAGTTTAAGAGTCTGCCACCTCGTGACGGGGTTAGAGGTGGAAAGCAGGGGTGGAGAGGTTGCCCTCACTGATGTCCAAAGAAAACGCTAGCAATGGTTATGATTTAGCACTGTTGACATCTAGTTTCCGCAACTGAAAATTAAAGATTCTGATAATTGTGTTGTTTATAGGCTATTGGCTATGGGAGAGGAACTCTTTGTAGTCTACCTGCTAACTCGTTTAATCCTTGTTACAGCCATGTCATTGGCACTGTTACTTCTCCAGGTTTCAGATGTCCCAACACTGTAACTTAGCTGTAGGCACACAGCTGGCTGGCTTTCTACGGCTACCGTAGTCCTTTCCTTGGATTTAGTGGCTAAAGACAGTCTGTGCTCATCCCAGATTTTTATGGGCATGTGTCTGAGCATAGCCTCCCTAGATTCTCTGCGTGCTAAGGCCCAGTCGAGCCGTTGACCTAGTAGGACAGACTAGGGATCTGTAACTTGGGTGTTGGTGAGTAGGGTCTCAGCAACCTGAGACCTGTGGCTGTGGCTCCTCCTTGAAGTGCTTGTGGGTTTTGGTAGAAGTGGCTTCCTCGCAGCTGCAGAACTCTCGGCATCTGGATCTCAAAACAAGCAGAGCACCTGCTTCTGTTCAAAGTCTCACTTCCTTTGGTGAAGACCAGGTGGTAGCCTGGGATTTAATTAGCTTAATACTAACTGCTTAAGGGGCTGCAGTATATGTCATAAATCCTCAGCTTTAGTGTATAATGGAACATAATCATGGGAGCAACATTCATTTATCATGTTTGGTAGGCAGAAGGCCCACTAAAACAAGTCTTGTCCTTCTCAAGAGGAGGGTACTCCACAAACTGGGAAATAATGTCAAGACTCACAGAGTTGTCTTATACTTCTTGAAACCCAACCTGGCTCCAGGCTCCTCTCCAGTCAGTGACCTCAGCATTCTTGATCACAGCAACCATGTTCTTCATTTTCTTTTTGAAGAAAGTAAGCTTTCCATAGGATTCTAAATAAACTAACACAGCAGCTTCACACGCTCTGCTCATCAAACATTAATTCTCTGCATCCCTCTGACTTTGAAAATCAATTTCAAGAACCCACAACTATCCGTGGTTTTATATTTTTCTAGGGAAGAACTCTATAGTCTCTTTAGGCACTCTGGTTGTGTAACTTTTTCAGTATTCATGTCCTTTTGAACTTAGAACTTGCAGATTGAAACAAGTTCTCCTAGAGTAACTTCAGCTTTGCTCTGTGTCTTTGAAACAGATGAAGTGACTGAGAAGAAAGAGTGAGTTCAGCACCTGGCCTTTGCAGCCAGGACAGCATGGAGCAGCCATTCACTGTGAACTCGCTGGTAAGTTCTCCCAACTGACACTTTGGCTATGATTGAAAAACTCCAAAAGACGAACAGAAAGAACCGACTGTGGAGAGAATCACAACCACTTCAAGAAGCATAGCACTTCCTTACAGCCTTGTGTATGGCTGTGTCCTTTGAGGAAGTGACTAATAAAGCCATCTTTGCCAGACAAAAATATCATTTTACTGAAACATCTGTGAAATTTTAATCTGTGAGGTTAGATTCTAGGAGTGTAGATCCTTTCGAGAAACACTGGAGGGGATTTCAGCGTGGACATCACGTTGATTGCTTCAACCTCAGCTTCTCTACAGATAGAGAAGCTTTGCTTTGGTGGGTGGTAGGAACTGGAAAAGCATTGTGTGTTCAGTATGGCGGTGGCGGTGTTGCTTGTGCATCCTCCTTGTGTGCCTGCAGTTTTGAAACTCTCGCTCTTTTCACTTTCCCTCTACAGCCCTGCAGAATTCACACCTTCTCTAGCTGCATCCCTGAAGCGCAGGGTGTTGGAGGGGAAGTAACCAGGACTTTGAGAGCACATGTGCTTGTTTGGTGCCCCAGATCAGTCCCTAAATGTGAATATAGGATACCCTTCTGTAACATGAAGGGCCGGCTAGCTTGGGTTTTCTGTCCCACCCAGTACCCCACAACCGGCAGACCCCAAAGAAAAATCACACACAAGACTCCATAAGATTATAAAGCTGGTTGGCCCATTAGGTCAGGCTACTTATTAACTCTTATAACTTATGTTACCCCATTATCCTTACCTTTGTTAGCCACACGGCTCAGTACCTTTCCCAGCTGGGCAGGTTACATCCTGCCTCTTCGGTGGTCTGCGCAGGAATGGCAGAGGAAGCTTCCTGCTTTCCAGAATTCTCCTGTTCTCATTGCCCCACCTCTACTTCCTGTCTTGTTGATCTGCCTATACTTCCTGCCTGGCCAATCAGCATTTTATTGAAATACATGATTGACAGAATACAGATAATTCTCCCACACCATTTCCCTCTTTTTTTTTAAACAAAGGAAAATACCCATAGTCCATTTGTTGGGAATGTGGGCATAGTATTTCAGGGTACTTCCTGCTGGTTGAGGGTGCTGATAATCTTACGGGAACCTAAAGAAAATTTAGAGTTATAATCAAGTCCTGACTGGAGTATCCTGTGAGTCTTGATCATCTCAGGCAGCAGTCTTGAATCTGTTCTAGATGTAGAATTCAGACATCCAGGCCATCTGTTCCTACCGGAGATTTCTCAGGTGGTCTTCCTTGTTCAAACTGGATTTTTCTTAACTCAGAATGAATCCAGAGCCTCTCATTTTCTGTAGAAACAAAAGCAAAATCTCTTCTCCAAAGTATCATACCTTTTGACTTCAATTTTGAAGCCAAGGTATTTTCAAAATACCTATCTTGGGTTAGTTCAGCAGCATTTATAAACAAAAGTCCTTTAGCAGCTGTTGCTCCTTCCTCAGCATTCAAACAATTCAAAGAGAGCATAATGGCATACAGTATCAAGATTCTCTGTATATTTTCCATCTTTATGCAGCTTTACTTTAACCTCTATTTCTTTTAATTTTACTTTTACTTTTTGAGACAGGTTCTCTGTATATCTTTATATATATCTCTGTATATCTCTGTATATCTGTATATTCTCTGGAATAACTCTGTAGACCAGGCTGTCCCTGAACTCACGGAGAGCCTCCTGTCTCTGCCTCCCCAGTGCTGGGATTAAAGGTGTATGCTACTACACCTTGAACTCACAGAGATCCATCTGTCTCTGCCTCCCAGGCATTGGAATTAAAGGTGTGTACCACCACACCCAACTACTTTCTTTCTTCCTTTTTTACCCTAAGAACTTTAACCTTTAGCCTGCATATATTTTTAACACATAGTAAAACATTTAGAGGTTTTTTTTTTTGTCTTTGAATCTCTCTTTACTGTCTCTCTCTCTCTCTTTCTGACCACATGAGTCTAAAACCGTGGCTTTGAGGGCTGGATCTAGCCCATTCCTTAGCTTTCCAGCCTCATGGCTGAGATACCAGCCAGAGCTGTGTTCACTGCCACAACTCTATGGCGTTTCAAGGTCCTTGCCAGAAAGCAAGCTGCAGCGTTCTGCTCACAGACCACACTCAGTCAGACTGCCTGCCTAAAAGAGTCAGAGATTGCCCTGGCAGGACGGCCCAGAAAGCCGGCATTTTAAAACAGCGCAGCTTTTTTCCTGCTATGGCTGAAAACCGAAAAGCATGCCTTCAGCTTTTCATAGACACCGTTTAAGTGTTTTGCGGCAGGACCTCTTAAAGGAGCTGCAAAGTTTTGCAGCTAAAGCTGAGTCAGGAAGCCTCTTAGATGAGAGCATTTGCTTGCCCCTAGCAAACAGAGCAGACTCGAGAAATTGCTGCTACCAAGAAAACATGCTTTACTCTATTCTTTCCCAAGCTTTCTCAAGCTTTCTGTGGATTCAGTTATCCACATCTGGGCGCCATATGTAACATGCTTGGGTTTTCTGTCCCACCCAGTACCCCACAACCGGCAAACCCCAAAGAAAAATCACACACAAGACTCCATAAGATTATAAAGCTGGTTAGCCCGTTAGGTCGGGCTACTTATTAACTCTTATAACTTATGTTACCCCATTATCCTTATCTACGTTAGCCACACAGCTCAGTACCTTTCTCAGCTGGGCAGGTTGCATCCTGCCTCTTCGGTGGTCTGCGCAGGAATGGCAGAGGAAGCTTCCTGCTTTCCAGAATTCTCCTGTTCTCATTGCCCCGCATCTACTTCCTGTCTGGTTGACCTGCCTATACTTCCTGCCTGGCCAATCAGTGTTTTATTGAAATACATGATTGACAGAATACAAATAATTCTCCCACACCACTCTTTCATCTCTTTTGGCCCTCCTTTGTGCTATGCTCTCAGCCTATTGTATACAATAAATGGAAGCCGTTAAATTTTTCCTCCAGATGAAACCCACAGTGATGGCAACCCTGAGAGCAACAGTGGTCTGAATACCATTATCTACACAAAACACAGGCCCTGGACACATAAACAGCATAAAGAATTAGAAGTCCCTCGAACTTAAGTGGGTTGTAGCAAGAATGCTTTAATCCTGAGCAAGAATGACTTTCGGAGGCTCCTTGAGACGGAGGTGCTGCAGAAACCTTTGAACTTCCCGACCCCAAGTGGTCACAAGCTCCCATTCCTGTCCCTTTGTAGGGAAGTCTTCAGCAGCTTTTCTGAAATTAGAAAATTATTTAGAAAACTACAAGAACAGTACCGTGAGGTGTGGGTCAAAGTGCGAAAGTGTGTTTTTCTTTGTTACTTAGTACTTCATTTTTAATTGATAGAGTATTTTAAAATGTTTTATTAATTTTTAGAGAATTTCATATAGTCATACAATGTATTTTGATGATATTAGCTCCCTAATCCTCCTCTTACACTTCTCAGAGCTGTGGCTACCCACACTCCCTCCCAGCGTTACGCCTTTCCTTTTTATAATGGTCCACAGAGTCTGATTTGTGCTGCCTGTGAACTCATGGACATGGGATACTAAAGCATGATTAACCTACCGGAGGGCCACACCTACAAGGAAAACCAAATCTCCCTCTCCAAAAATCCATCAACTGTCAAGAGCCCCTCAACTGGAAGTGGGGGCTCATGAGTCCCTCCCCACTTACGTTGGAATGCTCACTGATTTCATCTTGTATAGATCTTGTGCAATCAACCAGGCTGTCTGAATTCATGCGTGCATCTGACATGACAGGAAGACAGTCTTTTACCCCTCCTTGACCTCTGACTCTTATCTCTCTCTCCTCTTTCCTTATGGTCCTTGAACCTTGGAGGGTCTGTAATATAGATGTCCCTTTTGTGGCTGAGCACTGCGTAGACACTTAATTATTCTCTGTACTTTGACCAATTGTGAGTATCTGCATTAACTGCCATCTTCTGTAAAAATAAACTTCTTTGATATGGTCCAAGAGCTGTATAAGTCTATGGGTATTTAGAGAGCAATTTGATAATCTGTCTGTTTAGCAAAATAACAATAGTAAATCCTATGAGCTCCCAAACATGGGTTCTTGGCTAGCACCAAGCATGAATTTCCTTATGACCTTAAATTCAAGGAGAAAAGCAGTTGGTTACCTCCACAACATTCATGCCACTATTGCACCCAAGGGCATATCTCATCATATTAGTCATTATTGTATCTCACAGTGGTCATAGCTGGATAAGACTGCTGATAACCTTTCTCTGTCAGCAGCCTGAATAGCATCTTTCCCAAAAGAGAGGAACTTCCTGGTCAGTACTAACTTGACTTCTCCATGTATTGTTAACAAAGTATGTAGTGCCTTTAGCAATAGGGTCTTACTACCAAGTTCTAGTGAGAAAACAAGAGCAATGGTGATAGCCTGTATTGTGTAGGAGGTTTCCAGCACACCCCTCATAAACAGTGTGAGAGAAGGTATCATACACCTGGCCCTGTGCTTTGTATTTGGCACTCTCCGATGACTGGAAGAAACATTATTACCTGGATAAGATAACTGTAATTATATTTTTATGACTCTCTCTCTCTTTTGATAGACAGATATTTAAGAAGCTTGTAAAACAGGTTTCCATATGGCTTTTTCAAACGTCCTTGGTGTCAGTTTTCTCTTCTTGCCCCATTCTCTGCCCTTGCCCTTCATCCCCACCCTATTTATGCCTCTTTACCCATTATTCTCCTTCCTTTATCACCTGAGTCCTACTGTCTCTTGCTACCTTAAAATCTTTTTTTTAACCTTTCCTATCCCACCGATGACCCCCTTTCCAGTTTCCTGGCTTCTGTAGGTATTCCAAGTTAGATACACAAATCTAGAGATTTGATGCTAAGATCCACATTTGGCTAAGAGCACGCTCCATTTGTCTTTCTGGGTCTTTGGTTACCTCACTCAGGATAATGTTTCCTAATCTTGTCCATTAACCTGAAATTTTCATTATTTAATTTTTTTCTTTGCAACTGAATAAAATTCCATTGAATCTAGGGACCTCATCTTTATCATCCTTTGTGCAACTGATGGCATCTCGATTGTTTCCATGCCCTAGCTATTATAAATAGAGCAATGATGAACAAAGTTGAGTATGTGTCTCTGAAGCAGGAAAGAGAACAGTTTGGATATCTCTTTCGGTTTGTCGAGCAGTGATGTATCTGGATCATATGGTAGATCTATTTGTAGTTTTGAAGAACTCCCACACTTTTTCCCAAACTGGTTGCACCAGTTTGTACTCTGACCAACAGCACATAAGGGTTCTCTTCTCCCTACATCTTTGTCAGTGTTTGTTTTCTTTTGTGTTCTAAGTCTTAGCCATTCTGACTAGAATACAGTGAAATCTCAAAGTAGTTTCTATCTGTAATTTCTTGATGGCTAAGGATGGTGGATACTTTAAAAAATATCCCTTGGCCATCTGTGTTCCTTCATCTGAGAACTTTCTGCATACTGTTTATTGGGTTGTTTTGTTCATATTTATATTATTGAGTTCTTTCTATATTAGAGATGTTAGTCCTCTACCAGGTATATAGCTGGTGAATATTTTTCTTTTTAATGAAATTCTGTAGGCTGTGTCTTCAGTTAGTTAACAGGTTCCTTTGCAGTACAGGAACTTTCCAGTTGCATGAAGTCTCATTTGTTGATTGTTGATCTTATTTCCTGGGAAATTAGGGTCCTCTCAAAAAGTTCTTACTTGAGCCTGTATCCTGCTCTTTCTTCTAGAAGTTTTAGGTTTAGCATTGGAATCTATGATCCATTTGTAACTGATTTCTTTTTTTTATATTTATTTATTTATTATGTATACAATATTCTTTCTGCATGTATGCCTGAAGGCCAGAAGAGGGCACCAGACCTCATTACAGATGGTTGTGAGCCACCATGTGGTTGCTGGGAACTGAACTCAGGACCTTTGGAAGAGCAGGCGATGCCACTGAGCCATCTCTCCAGCCCTGTAACTGATTTCTTTTGCAGAATAAAAAGAAAGGTTCCAGTTACATTCTTCTACATGTAGACAGATAACAACTTTCTGTTAGAGATACTCTTTTCTACGATGTATTTTTTTTTCCATTTTTGTCAAAAACCAGTGACTGTAAGATGCATGAGCTTATATTTGGGTCCTTGATTCTATTCAACCAATCATGTTGACTGTTTTTGAACTTTTTTTTTTAAAACTACTATAGCTTTGTAATATAACTTGAAATCAGAAATGAAGATTCTCCCAGCAGTGTTTCTCTTGTTCAGGGTTGTCTTGGTTAACCCAAGTCTTTTGTGCTGTCATATGAATTTTAAAATTTCTTTTTCAATTTCTGTAAAGAATTGCATCAGAATTTTGATGAAGATTTCATTGACGCTGTAGATGGCGTCTGGTAGGATGACCATTTTCACTGTATTAATCCTACCTGCCCATGTGCGTGAGAGTTCTTTCCATCGTCTGGTGTCCTCTTTGGTTTCTTTCTTCAGTGTTTTAAAGTTTTCATTCTATAAGTTGGTTTCAAGTTTTTTGTTAAGCTTCTGTGAATGGGATTTCCAAGTTTATTTCTCAGTCTGTTTTTTTTATTGTTTTTTTTTGTCAGTATAATAGGAAGGCTGTTAATTTTATAGCCTACCATTCTTCTGAAAGTGGTTGCCTTCTCTAGAAGTTTCCTGGTGGAGTCTTTGGGGTATCTCAGATATGGAATTATTTGCAAATACCTTGGTCTCTTCTATTCCCATTTGTATCTCTTATTTCATTTTTTTGTATTATCACTCTAGCTAGAAATTCAAGCACTGTATTTTATAGGAGTAGTAACATACTTACCCTGATCTTAGTGAAAGTGCTTCAAGTTTTTCTGTTTCGTGTGATTGTTGGCTATTGGTGTCTCATATATACCTTTATTCGTTGAGATCTCTTCCTTCCATCCCTTCTTTCTTTCTACAGGAATTTTATCATGAGCAGATATTGGACTTTGCTAGAACATTTCTTTGACAAATTCCAACAGATTTTTAAAAAATATTTATAGACTATAGGATGTTAATTATATGTGTGTGTGTGTGTGTATATATATATATATATATATATAATTACACACACACACACACATACATACATACATACATACATACACACTCTGCAGGGATTGAAACAGGGCAGTTGTCATTTCCAGGTCTCTGTGTTAGAAACTTTCACATTATTATATAATTTGTGTCTTTTGTTATCCTATTATGCTTTAGAACTTTAAACTAATTCCTCCTGTCAGCTCTATTTTCGTTCCTAATGTCTAATGGAAGAAATGTGTTTTACTTTGGCATAAACTAAGGTAGGAAGAGCATATATTACATTGCTGCTCATCATATATCTCTAGTTTTGGAATTCCTAACCAAAAGAAAATAGATCAAAAAGTGTAAGGTGAGAATCAAAATTTTGTGTATCCTTTTATGATGGTCACTTGGACCAGAAACTTCTTTTCTTTGGGAATGTAGAAGACTAAATATTACTATTTCTTGGACTGTAGTTGGACCAGGTATGCCCATCAATCTGCAGGAAAGTTACCTGGAAACCTTGCCTGGCACTTCCTTGGGAAGGAATTAGCAGAAAAGAGCTTTCGTGTTCATTGCTACAGGTCCAACCAACAGTACCATCAGGCACAGGAGGTGGCTGCCTTCAGCATAATGGAACCTTAAGAAAAGTCTTATGGCTTTTGCTATATATTAAACCTTTAGAAACAAGAATCATTTCATGTTTCTAGTGTTTTACTTGCTATAAAGTTGGAAATAAAGTAAATCAAGTGACACAAGAAAAACTTACCTACCTAATCTCCTGTACTCTGCCCAGTGGCTCAGTTATTCATGGCAGAATAAAGCTATATCTGATTTAAATTTTTTTCAGAGCTTTCTACGGACTTTATTCAAACATTTTTGCCTTTACTGTAGTTGGGCTTACAAGTTACCCATATTTGAATAAGGAAGGCCGCAAGATGCTGAGTTTCTCTGGAGCAGCCTTATTCTTGGGCTGTGAAATAATGGTCAAGTGAAGCTGGAGAACGCACTGAGTCCTTCTGCGAACACTGACTGAAGCAGCAATTTTCCAGCCACCTCCTGAGGTCCTGAGTTTGTAGATCTTCAGTGGCGCCAGTTAGGAATTTGCATTTTTTTTTTATTTTTGAGAACAGCTGTCTTGCTGATGTTGCAGGTGCCTGGACCATACTCTTGAGACAGACAAGTCTGAACTTCGGGGAAAACAAGCTGTGGTCTGAGTGCTGTATTCATCGCCTTGGCAAGGAGCCAGGGCTGTTCATGGCCATATCGTTTACAGCTGCTTTAACATGTGGAGACCTGAATTCAAGTTGTAAAGAACATAAAATATCTACTACTGGGCCCTAAATAAATGGAAAAACAAAACAAAACAAGCCAGTCTTCGAGTCTGGCATTTCTGAGGCACAGAACCGTCTTAGTTATCCTTACTATGTATGCTTTGTGCATGTCTGAGAGTATACATCATGGCATTATTAGTAAAATTCAAAGATAGAAATAGAAATTACTTTTCTCCATAATTTATTATCATTTTCTCACTTGAGAACTAATTGATAACAATTGCTGTTAGATGGAAGTTTATTAGATTTATTTGTATTAAAAGAAAAATAATGGGGCAGGGGTGGGGCTTGGAGAGTGTTCTTTTTCTCTGAAAGGGCTTCACGGGGAGTTACCAGTGGTTTTTTGTTGTAATTTCTTTTGTATAGTGGCAGTGGAGGGGGACCCTAGAAACTCCCCATTAATTATTATATTGTGGGATAGAACCAAATCCTAATAATAACTTCAATGTAAACAACTTTCTGGAGAGCCTCAGAGTCCCGTGACGTGAGCCCTCCTGTGACCAGAATGATCCAGAATGGTTAACATGACAACTTACATGATGCTTATACCTAAAGCACTTGCAGACCCAGGAAATGCCACATGATTGTACTTTGAAACCTATGAAGAGGTCTTAGACAAATAAAAGTGTTTATCTTTTCCGGATGTGTGTCTCGGGTGTGACTGTGCACACAGGTCTTACACTGATCCTATCATTAACTCTTATAGAAGGATTTTCTGAGGTACTAGTATTGGGTTTGTGGTACAGAAATTACATGAATTAAATAGCTATGTAATTTTAAAAACCTATAATCAGATATTTAAATGTTTCATTGCAGAAAAAGTTGGCTGCAATGCCTGATCATACAGATGTTTCTCTAAGTCCAGAGGAGCGGGTCCGCGCCCTAAGCAAGCTTGGTTGTAATATCTCCATTAATGAAGACATCACCCCACGCCGTTACTTCAGGTCCGGAGTAGAAATGGAAAGGATGGCGTCTGTGTATTTGGAAGAAGGGAACCTGGAAAATGCCTTTGTTCTTTATAACAAATTTATAACGTAAGTCTTGTCTTAGAGGTCTTTAGAATGAGAAGCTTGAAACAATATTTATGTGATAATTTGACATGGCACTTTGGATACCATGAGAGTGTTCATATTCAGACCAGTTTGACCATCTTCTAAAAACGGAGTATATATGTTGATATACATTGAAACGCATCGAGATATCATCCATGAACCTCAGGAATGAGAGGGTCAGGAGGGGTGGAGGCTCTCTTCACGTGTATAGTTTCACATTTGGTGCCCTTTTCCTCCCGTAGCAAGATGCGCCTTCTGAGAGCAGGAGTTATATTGCTTCATCTAGAGCATGTCGAGTCTGCCATCGATACTTTAAAGATTTGATTTGAAGGTTTGAGAGCAGGAACACCTTGGGGAGCATGGGAGAGGTGTCATTTCTGACGAGGACACAGCAGTCCATTTCACACAGAATTCAGCAGCTGCTTTTGAGAAGCATTTGCTTGTTTATGCAAGAAGTTAATCTACAAAAGAACTTTCAGAATATTGAACAAGAGTGACTACACCACAATATCCATCAGAAACTACCGCATTTCCCCTCAGACGTGTGTTAGTAATGGATCCTAACTTTAGAGTTAGCGAAGGTGATTTTGGACTTCCCTTACAAGTTTGGTAATTTCACTGCCTAGAGGATCCCTTCTTAACAATAATGATGGACTCTAAGCTAAGCCTTTCATTTGAGTTTAAAGCCACGTGTTAATTAGTTTCATTAATTTGTTTTTAGTTGGAAAATTAATGTAATTTTTATGAAAATTAATGTAATTAATTAATGTAATAAAATCATAAATTGTGCATATTTATGTTTTTGTTTGCCTCTGTGGCTAAATCAAGCTAATTAACTTTTTATATCACCCACTTGCCAATTTTGATCGTGATAATATTTAAAAATTTGTTGTCTTGGCAACTTTCTAGGGTATAGTTATTTATAGATACCATGTTGTACAGCAGATCCCTAAACTTATTCATCCATCTGGAATTTTGAACTGTTACTGTTTTAAAAAAACTGTGTGTGCACGCACATGTATATGTGTATGTTTCAGATGGCTATGCATACTGTACATTTGTATACATGAGTGCAGGTGCATGCATACCACAGCATACACATATGGAGTTCAGAAAGTAGCCTCATGTGTCAGTCTTCCCTTCCACCTTGTCTGAAGTCAGTGTTTCATGTAGCTCAGATACCATGTACCAGGGAAAGGATGGAGTTCAATGCTTGTTCTTCTTGCCTCCACTTCCCAAGTCTTCAGGATTGCAAGCGTGCATCACTGTGTGTGGCATAGCCTTTGTCTTTTAAAAATCCCAAATGAGATCATGAAATACTCGTATTCTGTATTTTGTTCATTTTATTTATGATTACAGTAGTTCACGTGGCAGGATGTTATTCTGAAAACATTCAAGTTGAAAGAATAAAATATTTTTTTTAAAAAACTGGTTTTTTAATGATTCCACCAAAGAAGAAAGTAAAAACAATTTACATATTTAATTCCCAAGTTAGTAAGCTTGGAAACTTAAAGTGGAAATTTAAAGAATTAATGACTAACTTCACCCTGACTGGGAAAAATTAATGGTTACCAGAAATTTGAACAATAAATATGAAACTGAGGGTTGTCAACCACAGTTTATGGCCAAAATGCTGCAAAAGTTCTAGTTTCTGAAATATATTTTCAATATGTCATATATTTTCCACCTTCAGGTCTAATTTTGTGTAAACTCCCCCAGCACTCTCCTCATGAAGGAGAAAGCTCTGAGCATCTGTCTCAGTTAAGGTTTTTATTGCTGTGAAGAGACTGTGAGCATGGCAATTCTTATAAAGAAAACATTTAACTGAGGGGGTTTCACTTACAGTTTCAGAGGTTCAGTTCATTCTGATCACAAAGGCGAGCATGGCAGCATGCAGGCAAACGGGGTGCTGGAGCTAAGAATCCTACATTTTGTGGGCAACAACAAGTTGACTACCTGGCATTCTTAGGAAAGCTTGAGAAAAAGATCTCAAAGATCGCCCCCACAGTGTGACATACTTCCAATAGAAGGTGTGGCCCAGATTAAAGCTGTGCCCTCCAGCCTCAAGGTCTGGATTAAAGGTGTGTGTCACCCAGTCTTTTCCAAGAAGAACACACTTCCTCCAACAAGGCCACACTTCCTAACAGTACCACTTCCTATGAACTGATGGGGGCCAGATACATTCAAACTACCATCCGGTCTGTGATTTTACTGTTTCTGAAGTCTTTGGCAGCTAATACCTTTAGTTTAGCTTCTGCCAGCTTTAGCTGTCTCGTATCAGAAATGGAAGTTATGTTCATGTTTAGGTGTGACCTGTCACCCTGTCGTGAGGAGAAATTAAGTGAACCAGTAATTGCAAAGTACCCATATTAAATGATCTATACTCCACCATGATCTGTTAAGCAAAGGCTCAGCATTCGTTTTTCAAATCTGTATTGATCACTTATGGGCCAACACCATTCTTCATGCCAGGGATGCATCACAGAGTAAGAAGGAGAAACATCTGCCCCTGCAGACGAGCCATCTTCTTCCCTTCCCTGGGAGCAAGGCACCTGCCTTGTGTGGTTTTCTCTTCACCTCGGCGGAATCTTTTTCCTCCCAGGCGACTGGAAAATAACTTCCGTTTAACACGTCCGCTAGAGGTTCTGTTGCATCTCTCTTAGCTATGAATTTTCAATTACGAGTTTTTACCAACACACGACAGTGATACTAATTCAGGAAAGGTTGTTAGATCTTTTTCAGGGATGAAAGGGATTTATACCCCTGTTTGAAAATCTTACACATACGTAAGACGGTGCTGCGGTGGGTTCAAGTATGCAAGGCCCAGGAAGGACTAGAGCATGGAGGGAGCCTGTAGAGACCCTGACCTCATCCCTTGTCTGAGTTTGCTTTCTATTGTTGTGATAAAGGCCATGACCGAAAGTAGCTTGAGGGAAGGGTTTCTATTCCAACAAATGCTCTGATCACGAAGGGAAGTCAAGGCAAGTACCTGGATGCAGGAGCGCATGCAGAAGCCATGGAGGAACACCGCTTACAGTTTTGCTCCTCATGGCTAGGTCAACCTGCTTTCTTAAACAATCCAGGCCCAACTGCCATAGTAGACTGAGCTTCCCCACATTGGTTGTTAATCACGTAAAAGTCCTACAGATTGGCCTACAGGTCAGTCTGGAGGTGGCATTTTTTTCAGTTGAGGTTTGGCTTCCCAGATAATTTGAGCTTGTGTGAAGTTGACAAAAAAAAAAAAAAAAAACTAACCAGCACAGCCCTGCTATTTTTTGTTTAGTATAAGTATAGTGTAGAGTCAGAATAATATACATACCGTTCTTTATTTAAGAAGTGGGTGGATACAAAGACCATAGTTAAATAAAAGTTGTTGCCAGGCAGTGATGGCACATGCCTTAAATTCCTGCACTCGAGGAGGCAGAAGCAGGAGGATCTCTGTGAGTTTGAGGCCAGCCTGGTCTACAGAGGGACAGCCACAGATATACAGAGAAACCCTGTCTCGGGGAGAAAAAAATGTTGTTGAGTGTAATTATTTTTTAAAAGAATGCTCATCAGAAACTGACACTGGCCTTTCCCTGGCACGGCATGCTAACGCTGTGTTTTCTCTTTCTCTAGATTGTTTGTCGAAAAGCTTCCTAGCCATAGAGATTACCAACAGTGTGAAGTACCAGAGAAGCAGGATATCATGAAGGTACACTGGGTTGAGCCTTCCCTGTGGGCTCAGATGTCCTGAAGTATATGTGATTGGTTCATAGCTTCCTCCTTGGCTTGTCCTCTAAAGAATGTAAAACCCCAAACCCCATTTCATCAGCCGTGACATTCTGATTTCCCCCTAATGCATTTAGTGGTTGTAATGGTGGCCATTCAAGGTGTCTAACTAAACTGGAAGAGAGAGAGAAGAGAATGTGCTCCATTAAGGCACACATGTAAGGCAGGAATTCCTTTACAGCTCCTCTCGGAGACTGAGATAACAGTTGTTCCCATGCACTTCCTTGAAGCAGTCACTTGAGCTGCTGGATTATTCTCCACAGGATTGAATAACTCTTTGGAAATCAGTCGTGATTTTTGCGGTAGCCTCACATTTTAGCTACAGTCCTGTGCTGTGTACTGTGTGTTTCAGTCCCTGAACCCTAGAGATGACAGTGGTTCCATTAACTTCTGTTGCCTAGTGACATCATTACCATCTTAGTTTATTAAGTGTATACGTTGATTTTTCTATAGTAACAAAATCACTGAAACATAAGTTTCTTGGGACATAGCCTTGTTGTTAAGTGGTTTGTAACCATTTGCCTCCTAGAAAGACATTTTCCTGAAGAGATTAGCTAGATATAAGAGAGGAGACTTGGGAACTAGTCCTAACTGGACCATCAGCTCCCTGTGTGAACCAATTTCATTAGGCTTTTCCTTCTCTCCTTCACAGGGAGGGTATGATAGGACTTTCTATCAAATTCCCTGGGTCTTTCCTGTCATTGAGAACCACTAAAGAAGTTGTCTGAGATCCTGACTTCCTCACTCCTCCCTGGAGATGTGAATCCAGGAGATCTGGGTTTAGCCTGGGACTCTGAGTTCTCATGAAAGGTCCCTCAGCTGCTTTTTACATCTGCCATGTGTAGGAATGCCTCCCCACTATAAACCCTTATGTCTCCCTTGTAATGCCAAGAATAAGTGACCTCCAAGTGCACGCGTGAAACTCTATTGGTACCTTCCTAAACAAAACGGTTATCTAACCAGTAGACTCAACGGAGATCTTCCAAAGGGAACACATACACAAACACAGCTCACGGTTTATTTTCCTCATTGCTAGAAGCTGTATTTTAAAATCCTAGAATAGATTTGGTTTTCTGAGACTATCTTTGCTTCTTCTAACTTGGTTTCTAACATACGTGCCAGCTGTTTCTCTTTCTCAGCTGATGTCCGGAAAGTGTGTACTGAAATTCCCACTAATTGATATGTGTATCTCTTTTTGAAAGACACTGAAGGAGATTGCCTTCCCAAGGACGGATGAATTGAAAAGGGACCTGATAAGAAAATACAACATAGAATACCAAGAGTATTTGCAAAGCAAAGTAAGTTCAATAGGCATATATAAATAAATAGTGGATTTATTTATCCACTGTTCTTTGTGTGTGTGTGTGAAAATGGTTTTTGAATTTTATTTCTGTATGAGTTTTTGAAATATGTGCATTTAAATTAAAAATTAAAGATGTAATGATGTAAATCTAATAAAAGATTCATGTAGCTGTCCAGATTGAGCATGTGCTCTAAGGATGCGGTATTTTCATTTCCTGAAACATCTAATAAAGAGTGCATTAGGAAATAGACTTCCTACAGTGGTTTAAATGGAGCCTCTGACTAAGTCATTCCAGTGTAACCTTGATCCAGATGGCTGATACATTTATTTTTCCAGATGAATAGAAGCGGCAGAAAGTAGACAAAAAAAAAAAAGCATGTTTTTGATGTATTTAATTATGTAGGCCTTGGAAATTTAAATTTAGTTCTTAAATAGTTTAGTCAACATTTCCTCAAGATAGAACAGTTAACCTTGTGGGTGAAACATAATCCTAGTTCCAGTGGGTGCTAGTTTCTGAATTTTTGTTACACAGTGAAAGGAGACTGAAGGGCATTGAAAGGGGAGATTGCCCAGTAAATCTAGGGGGTTCTCAGATTCCATATGCAAATTCTTAGGTCTTAAGAGGTTATTAGAGGTGTTGCTTTGCTTCTTTGTGGTTGGGTGACCATTTGCTTTGGAGGTCGCCAGCCTCACCGTCTCTTGGCGTCTCTTCGATCTCACTACTTCTGCTAACAGTCCCAGAGTTTAGGGGGCATCGCTGGAAGGCTGGTTAGCTAAACTGAAGAGGGAGTGAGGATTGTGCTCCTTCAGGGTGTCCCTGGGAGGAGCACATGGGACAGCTGTGCCCTGTGCTGCCGTGGTCACGATAGTGCTCCCACAGAGTCTACAGTCTTACCTCACATGCAGGTTTCTGGAGAGGTAGTGGCAGCAGCCAAGGCTAGGGAGAGGTTAAATCTACCTAAAGGCTCTGACTATGGGCAACACCTGCCTGCCCTGGTGCTTGTTAGAACTGTGGAATCCGTGCCCAATCAGAATTGCTAATGCTAACAAGGCCCAGGGTGATTCACATGAAGCATGGCTATAAAGTGAGTCCACTCTGCTCCCCCCACCTTTCTGCTGCTTTCAACACCAGTTGGAAAACTTACTACCCCCTTGGTATCCCTCTGTCCTAATAATGCCCAGATATTTTTGTTAGAACTGGGTGTTGGGATTCTTAATTTTTAACATGACTTTTGATTAGAAGAAATAGAAACACTTTTGGGAACCACTTCCCTGTGATTCCCATAACATATGTATGCATTCTAAAGGCAAAGACAGAAAGGTTCTGGAGAGCCCCAAGCCAAAGAGCATATTCCAGTACAGCAGCCACTAGCACAGAAGGCTGTTGGATACTTGAGTGTGACCGGTGTGCCTGAGAACTGCATTGCTAGTTCTATTTCGTCTCGGTTTGAATTTAAATAGCAGCATCTGGCAGCATCTGGCTACTAGCTGCCAGATTGGAAAATGCTGTTTAAGGGACAAGATCTTTTGTTTGAAGTGGTCTGAGGGGTCAGGAGGACAAGACATTGATATTCCGGTATTTAGAACCATGGGAATATAGAGCATGATTTCTGTGCTGCCTCTCATGAAATATGATGGATTTAGAAACTACTTTCTTTATCAAATTCAGCATTTTTCCTGTGGTGTTTACTTTTCTGTTTTCCTATGAATCTCTCTCCTTTCTCTCTCTGCCCCCACCCCACCCAGAAGACCAAAGAATCGAATAATTTCAGTTTGATGTTTTTGGCTTGGAAACTAACACTTTTTTTTTTTCCTGGCAACCATCTCCTCAGAACAAATACAATGCCGAAATTCTTAAAAAGTTGGAACATCAGAGACTGATCGAGGCAGAGCGGAAGCGGATAGCTCAGATGCGCCAGCAGCAACTAGAATCAGAACAGTTCCTGTTTTTCGAAGATCAGCTCAAGAAGCAAGAGTTGGCCCGCGGCCAGACACGAGGTCAAGACTCCCCGGTGCTGTCTGAGCAGACTGATGGAAGCAGACTGTCCTGCTTTTCCACCCACCAGAACAACTCTCTACGGAACGTATTTGCCGATCAGCCCCGTAAAAGCGATGGCAGCGATTTCGCTGATCACTCTCCTCCCGTGAACAGGGCCTTAAAGCCCGCGGCCACTCTGAGCGCGGTTCAGAGTAAGTCTCTAGGACGCAGGCGCACCGCCTTCTGTCTCTAACTTTACAATCCAGCCCACCTAACTTGTCTGATTACAGAGCAGTCATAGTTTGTTACTGGATAGAGATTTTGAATGAGAAGTCCAAGCATTTATTTTCCTTCTTTGTGTTTTATTCAAGACGCACATACATCTTAAAGGGAAACACACACTGGGGACTCCGGAAAGAAGGAACTGAGGAATTAGTTACTGAGACCCTAGCTCAGTAGACAGATAGTAAAGAGCAGTGTTCAGCATCAGCATGGACCAGTTGCTGGTGTTAGTTTTAAGTATTGTCTCGTCTTCTCTAGCAAGTTTCCCAAATGGAGTAGGCAGTTCTCTTTGGCAGAGGTTCCTATTTAAGAGTCACAGTAGGCAGCAATGCTACTTTGCTGGTAATTGTTTCCGGAGAAAAATGTGCTTTTGTTTACGGATCGCCCACATTCATTAGGCTAGTAGTAGCACGTAACAAGCACAATAAGGAATATTCATCCTGTGTCTCATGGAAAGTGAACTGCGGTCGGTCTGTGGGCTCATTGGCGTATTTGCGATGTGCAGGAAGAAAACACACGCATTTGAGAGTTGTTCCAGAAGGCAGCTGTGTATGAGTACTGGCTCTTTATAAACTTTCTTATAAAACGATTTGCATATGAAATGTACGTATCAGTTTACCCTCCTTCTAATCAATATCTACTTCCCAGTGTTTTTTGTTAATGAGCTATGAAAAGTGAACCACCTGATAGTTTTGAAATTTGTGCTTTAGTTGCTTGCCGAGATTCAGGGCTGAAGGACGAGACTCAAGCTTTGTTTTCTATCATGTTTCTGTTTTCTCTGTCTTAGATTTAGTGGTTGAAGGCCTGCGGGGTGTGGTTTTATCAAGAGACCTTTGCCATAAATTTCTGCTGCTGGCTGAATCAAACACAGTAAGAGGAATAGAAACCTGTGGAATCCTCTGTGGCAAACTGGTACGGTCTTGTTTTATCTCTCAGTGGGTCACTTTCAGTCCTGAGAGCAGGGTGGAAGCACGTCGGGGAGGGGCTGTAAGTATTCCAAAAGTAACCTTAAACACACACGCTTCCTTAAACAGCGGTTATTGTTCATGAACTCAGCATTATAAAAAAAAAATGAACACTAAAGTTTTAGAAACACCATCAAACACTAGAAACAGAACATTTATAAAAATGGTAGATTACAAGTCAAGATGTAAGGAACCATGCTCAATGGGAAGGGAGGCCCTGAGGCTGGAGAGAGCAGTGCTGTAGAAGGATTAGAAGGCCAGTGGGCCCAGAGATGACACACCTCACAGCCCAGCCAGGACCTCCCCATCTTTACCTTAAGACCCTTTCTTTCCCACACCCGCACCTTTTTTTCCCCAAGAAGAGCCCAATGTGTTTCTTCTTTCTTTTTACTTAATTGTAAGAGCCATCTTTTTTAATTTTGGAAAACACCCTTAGAGAAAAATCCTAACTTTTTTATAATTACATATAACTGATTAAAAAAAGCAAGACAGCAATCCCTACAACTCATAGGACTGCCTTTGAGTAACACCACACATTTGCCAACTTAGTCTTTGTCCCTCCACAGAAACTGGCCTTGCTATGTGGAGACATTTTCCTTTGTAGGTCTAGTATGCCAATGCATTATTTATTAGCTAATAACTCCGTTCCCCATTGCTCTCCTTGATGCTAATTCCGTCTGTATTTTCTACCACAGAAATGGGTTTCAAGCCCCAAACAGCGGATGCCCGAATCTTTCAGTAGAGTCAACTTTTCTGTTTGTTTTTGAATTGTGATAGTGTCGTAGTACAAGTGGTGAGGTCTGCTGGCCGATATTGAAGCATTCCACATCCTCTTCAGAGACTTGTTACTGTTCTTGAATGGTTGTTTTCCAGACACATAATGAATTCACTATTACCCATGTGATCGTGCCAAAGCAGTCTGCAGGCCCAGACTACTGTGACATGGAGAACGTAGAGGAATTATTCAGTGTTCAAGATCAACATGGACTCCTCACGCTGGGATGGATTCATGTACGTCTGGCCTTTTGGGTTTTGGTTTTTGTGTGTGTGTGTGTGTGGTGTGTTGTTTTCTTCAAACAGGAATTTAGCTGAGTTTAAATAGTTTTTCGTCTTTATATTTTCCCGGAGGTAATAAGTATCCCGATTTAAAACAGTTTTTTCAGTGTTGGGCTGTGTATGAGTCTGTCACATCTGGATTTGAAAGGGGTAGCCTATACTTTTCTGTTTCTCCAGAGCTAAGAAAGGTAAGACATGACAGGAGGCCTTTCTCTGCTGGGTTCAGATAATCTCAGAGAAATGGCCGAGTCTAGACTGTGTGGTGGTCTCCTATCTCTGACTATGGATCTAAATAGTTTATAAACCTTCTTTTGACAACACTACAGTTGTAATGCGGAACAGCGGGCTGTGTTCCCGGCACCCTGCCGCCCGACTAGTTTGCACTCAAAATAATTACACGGAAACTGTATTCATTTAAACACTGCCTGGTCCATTATATCTAGCCTCTTATTGGCTAACTCTCACATATTAGTTTAACCCATCTCCATTAATGTGTACTGCCACTTGACTGTGGCTTACCGGCATGAGTCTAACCAGCATCTGTCTTGGAGAGGAGAGCCATGGCATCTGGTTGACTCTGCTTTCTTTCTCCCAGCATTCTGTTCAGTCTACTCAACCTATCTAAATTCTGCCCTATCAAAAAACCAAGGTAGTTTCTTTATTTGGCCAATGAAAGCAACACATAGAAAGAAGACCCTCCTACACCACACTACTTTTAAACAATGCATGTGGGGCTGAAGAGATGGCTCAGGGGTTAAGAACATAGGCTGTTTTTCCAGAGGACCTGAGTTCAATTCCCAGCAACCACATGGTGGCTCACAACCATCTACAATGAGATCTGACATCACTTCTGGCCTGCGGGCATACATGCAGACAGAACACTGTATACATAATAAATAAATCTTTAAAAAATGCATGTGTGTACCAAAGGGAGTCCACACATTCAGTGTCCTGCTCCACAGAGCAGAAGTGTGTACATAAAATGACTGGGGATTGAACAACTAGGGTCAGAATATTGGATTCTGACATCCATTGGGCCACTGTAGGTATGAAACTGGATTTATACATCAAGTAGACATGAGTTTAACAAATATCAGCTCCACTGAGAGCTCATGGAGAAACATTGACAAGTGACTGTAACAGCATCTTCATCGTCCACAAAGTGAGAGCCATAATAATTGACTTCCTATGATACTGAATGTTAAATGAAATAATGCCTGCAAGAGACCTAAAGAATGAGCAGGGATTGGTTTGCATTTTATTTATTTGTACAAAAATGCTGGGGAGGAGCCATGTGGACTTACACACACACCTGCTAAGTGTTATTACAATATAGTTTAGGAGGGTGGAGGAAACATCACTCCGCTCGGCCCTCTGTCTTCTTAGTCAAGACTACTAGCTCCTTATTTTCAAGTTCTCTTGCTGACAGGGAGGCTAATGAGTTTCTCTCACTGATTTGATGTGAGTGGCAAAGAAGCTGGCATATGAAAGCCCTTTGAAAAAGTATAAACCGTGCCTTGAATGTAGAAGTTTATTTGAAAAGAAAAACTTGCTACTCATTTATTTGGTTTGTTTAATAATAAATAATACACTTTACTACTGAATGGAAATTGCTGGGCTTTTAGTTGTTGCTGTTTTGGTTTTTTCAAGACAGGGTTTCCCCTGTGTAACAGTCCTAGCTGTCCTGGAACTAGCTCTTGTAGACCAGGCTGGCCTCGAACTCACAGGGATTCACCTGCCTCTGCCTCTGCCTCTGCCTCTGCTTCCCAAGTGCTGAGATTAAAAGCATACACCACCACTGCCTGGCCGGAGATTGCTGTTTTAAAGTCTTTATTTAGCCTAACAGAATGTGTCTAGAATACATTTTAAAGCAAAATAAACTATAGCACAGAGACCTGGGAAGATAGGCCAGTTGGTATAAGTACTTGCCATCAAAAATGAGGACCTGAGTTCAGAACCACAGTACCTACCTAACGAGCAGGGTGCTGCCACATGAGTCTAGAGTCCCAGAACTGAGGTTAGAGACAGGCAGATCGTTGGTGATTGCCAGGTAGCCAGCCAACCTAGCCAAGTTAGTGAGCTCCAGGTTCAATGGGAAAAACTGGACCACCCCCTCCCAGATAAGGTGGAGAGCCATAGAGAAATACACCTAATATTATCCTTTGGCTAACACATGCACGTACACACATAAACATGTACGGACACCACTATATCATACACACATGCATTTATGCACATATGCAAGTCATAGTAAGGAAATTACAGCAAACTAAAAGTGGTAGTTTTTAAAATTGCCTATGTAGGCCAGTCAGTGTTCATCTTGATGAACAATTCCCAAACCAGAATCAAAGGTTTTCCAAAGATGTGTTGTGTCTGCTGTGTAGGCTATAGTGAATTTAAGTTGTTTCAATAGTGGATTTGTCATCACTCTAGACTTCTAAGATCTAGATTTTCCTGAGTCAAGCTGTTAGTTACATCTCTATAGCTCGATGAAGTGCTTGCTTTCACAGTACATGATAACAGCAGTCAATCCAGGCTAGATCTATACAAACTCATCATCAGGAAGAAAGTCGGAACGGATCTGGCAGACCTGGAGTTGAATTTTAAATGTCTCTAGCTTGACTGGCTCTTTGGAGTATCTAGAAGATACTACGCTGTTTATCGCAATTGTCTCCTTGTCTATAGAACAGGGGTAATAACAACACAAACCTTCGTGAGAACTCTATGTCATAATTCATGGAAAGCGATTCATTTTCGGCCCAGCACTTCATTCTTTGGTAATAAATGGCATTTGCTGCTGCTGTCACCACCACCGTCATCATTTTCCTTTGCAATGGGAGTACCATGCTCCCATGGGAGAGATGTCCTCCTGAGCATGGAACCGGTTCTTTGAGGCAGAAATGAAGGGCTCAGGTGTTTACATGGGTACATTCAGCCTGAAGTCAATTGATGGCCATAGTAACTTTTCTATGTTACAACTTGCTTGCTGTTTCCACAGCACACTGGTCCCATAGAACACGTCTTCCATTCTGCCATGATATAGAAAGCTCTGGTTTTCTCAGAGAAGGTATTCCCTAGCAGAGGAGCAGTGTCAAGCCCTCTCACTCATTCCTCTACTAAATCTTTGCATTTGAACAATGAGCCTACCTGGTGCGTGACTCCACGGAAGGGTGGGTGTTTAGCACAGACAGGATTTTGTTCATAGTCTCCTTTCTCTTTGTGCATTTTCAATGGATAAGTAGAGTCTCAAACACCTTCAGCAACTTGGAGATCCCTCCTCTTCCTGTTTATGAGGATGAAGAGCCATAGACAATGTCATTTATGTGCTATATTTAATTCTGTCAGAATGCAAAAGTGACCAAGACTCCAGGTTTCTGATTCCTGTGGCCATGCTGCTTCATTTTCCTTAGTCTGGAGATCCTTGTATATAGGCTGAGATAGTCAGATTATTGCCTCATTAGATTAATGGAGGATCTATTCTAGTAAACAAGGCCGTCTCCGCCTTTCCCACAACGAAAGTACATACACTCATAGGAATTTTGTCTCTAAGGCATAGTTATTCCAAACAAATAAACAATAGCATGGCAGAAATGGAGGGATTCTATCAGCCCCACCTAATTCACCTTTATGCATTATTACTAGTAGTAGTGTGTGACGTGTACAAGTGTAGGCGTGCAGGTGGCAGGGCACACATGTGGAAGTCAGAGGACCTATTTCAGGGAGACAGTTCTCTCCCACCGTGAGTCCCAGGAGTCGGATCCAAGTCATCAATCAGGCATGCTTGGCAAACGCTGTTATCCACTAGCCGTCTCACCGACCCGCAACAAAGCATGCTTTTCACATGCTCCATGAAAATCGCAGGGCAAGGTTTAAGTGCAGCCTGGGCTTCCCTCACGAGACTCTTCCTTCCCATTTGCAGACGCACCCCACGCAAACTGCGTTCCTGTCCAGTGTGGATCTTCACACTCACTGCTCCTATCAGCTGATGTTGCCTGAGGCGGTTGCCATTGTGTGCTCCCCAAAGCATAAGGAGTAAGTGTGGCGAGAGGGCTTCCGAGTCCACCATGCTGCGGTGCTTGGATATGAGGCTCTTCAGCAGGAGACGGGCTGTGGCTAGTTCCTGTACACCTGTAGCTCCACGATCTGTTATTGTTGTTGTCTTAAGTCTTCGCAAAAGTGAGCCTGCTGGTCCCCCTTCTGCGAGTGTGATAACGCGTCATGGGCTCGCCACCCCAGTTGCCTTTGAAATCATGTTTCTACTGTTCTGTTTTCTATGAAAGAAATTGACCGGGCTTCCCCAGTAACCTCCAAAGCTTTCCTAGTTTGGGAATACAAATGTTATTGTGTAACACAAAGCATTCTCATCTGGGAAAGAATGATTTTATTCTTGAGCCAGATGTGAGTGGCCATGGCCCAGGAACATGGATTCAAGTTGCCCTGAGAAATATACTCCGCCACAGAAGTGATTGCATTCAGTTCTGTTGTTTACAGAACAAAGCTAGTTACAAATCAAGACATACACCAAACACATTGGCAGAAACAGCAGGTAGGATGGGTCTAGCAAAGCAGGCAGGCAACTGTGCTGTCGGGATCAGAGGTTGTCTGAGGACATTTATAACTTCTCGATGAGTAAAAGGCCTGCGAAGAATATCTTCCAAAACTGTGATCGTCGTCAGCACAAAGGTGCGCAGGAAAGAGTTTTGAAGGAGACTGAAAATAGCTCTAGATTACCTGCCACTTGTCCAAAGCGTTCTAACCCTCCACACCAAGGAGTCCAGTCAACTGGCCTTGTATTGCAGATCTGTTAACACGGAAATGACTTTTCATTTTCTGGGGTTCAGTTTACAAGTAGTTATAATCATAAGAATAAGACAGACATTGTTTGAAGCCTGTCTCTACCTGCAAGATGTTGGATTCTTGAGCACAGGGACCCAGTTTCTTCATCCTTCATCTTTGATGAAGGACACTAGAGAGTGTCTATGATGTGTTTCTCACAGTGCCCAACACTGCCACCTACCTGCCTGATCACTGACATAGAACTATCTGCTAGGGTGGAGAACATGTGTATGACCTTTCCCATGGGGTCTCAGCAGTTCCCTTTTGGTCCCTTTGGGTTCCTGTAGGTACTTGGAGATCAGTATATCTAACAGTAGTCATGCTGTGGCTAATTGTGACAGTCACCAGGGATTCCTGCTTGGTGATTTCTTCCCCCATCCCATGTGAGGAATGAGCATGTTTGCATCTTCCCAGATGGTTTTTAACTTTGTGCCTCTTTCCCCCCTCATGTTTAGCACGGGCATTTTCAGGCTCACCAATGCCGGCATGCTTGAGGTCTCTACTTGTAAAAAGAAGGGCTTTCATCCTCACACCAAGGACCCCAGGCTGTTCAGTGTGAGTAGACATCCTGGAGGATTGTTCTTGTTGTTGTTGTTGTTGTTGTTGTTGTTGTTGAGACAGGGTTCGTCTGTGTAGCCTTGAAACTCCCTGTACAGACCGGGCTGCCCTCAAACTCAGAAAGATCCCCCTGCCTCTGCCTCCCGAGAGCTGTGGTGAAGATGTGCACCACAATGTCTGGCTCAGCAGCAGGGATTATTCTCCCAGATGTTCAGTGTGAATAGACAACGTGGATTATTCTCCCAGATGTTCAGTGTGAGTAGACAACGTGGATTATTCTCCCAGATGTTCAGTGTGA